CAGCAAGGGTGGTTCGTCATTCCAGTGCCTTTCCGTTCACCTTTGCACCCCTGGGCCAGACTACACTCAATTATGGGACCTACTGAAGAGATGTGTTTTCAGTAAAGACTTAAAAGGTTGAGACCGAGTCTACGTCTCTCACATGGATCGGCAGACCATTCCATAAAAATGGAGCTCTATAGGAGAAAGCCCTGCCTCCAGCTGTTTGCTTAGAAATTCTAGGGACAATAAGGAGGCCTGCATCTTGCATGTAGGTATGTACGGCAGGACCAAATCAGAGAGATAGGTAGGAGCAAGTCCATGTAATGCTTTGTAGGTTAGCAGTAAAATCTTGAAATCAGCCCTAGCCTTAACAGGAAGCCAGGCTAGCACTGGAGTAATATGATCAAATGTTTTGATTCTAGTCAAGATTCTAGCAGACGTGGTTAGCACTAACTGAAGTTTATTTAGTGCTTATCCAGGTAGCTAGAGAGTAGAGCATTGCAGTAGTCTAATGTAGAAGTGACAAAAACATGGATTAGCTTTTCTGCATCATCTTTGGACAAAAAGGTTCTGATTTCTGCAATGTTACGAAGAAGGGAAAAAGCTGCCCTTGAAATATTCTTGATTTGTTCGTCAAAAGAGAGATTAGGGTCCAGAGTAACGCCGAGGTCCTTCACAGTTTTATTTGAGACGACTGTACAACCATCAGGATTAATTGTCAGATCAAACAGCAGATCTCTTTGTTTCTTGGGACCTAGAACTAGCATCTCTGTTTTGTCCGAGTTTAAAAGTAAAACTTTTGCCGCCATCCACTTCCTTATGTCTGAAACACAGGCTTCCAGGGTAGGCAATTTTGAGGCTTCACCATGTTTCATCGAAATGTAGAGCTGTGTGTCGTCCGCATAGCTGTGAAAGTTAACATTGTGTTTCCGACTGACATCACCAAGAGGTAGAATATATAGTGAAAACAATAGTGGTCCTAAAACGGAACCTTGAGGAACACTGAGACTTACAATTGATTTGTCAAGAGGACAAACCATCCACAGAGACTAATTGTTATCTTTACTAAATCAAATCAAATGTTATTTGTCACATGCGCCGAATACAACAGGTGTAGACCTTACAGTGAAATGCTTACTTACAAGCCCTACATGTGTGGTTGGAGATATGCTACAAAATAGCAAGGCCCATGAGGTGGGTCATGTTCATTAGGGCATGCAAAGAAAAACATCTTCAAACATTTAGCAATGGAAAACAACAATGTGTATTTCTTATTGGTCGAAGTAGTCCCTCCCTGTTTCAGTCGTTTTCTTCTGTTTGCTGCCTACTGAACACACCTCAGGACTGTACCCTACACAGCAAAACCTCCAGTGTTGAATCAACTCTGAGTGTTCAATTGAACTTTTACAGAGTCTACACAAGTCCACACTTTTCAGAGTTAAATTAACACTTCGATAGATACATTTGTCCAATCGAAAATCTTATTTTCGTTGCAAAACGTTCTCCGTTTGGAGTAAACGGTTTCCGTTGATAAACATTCTGCAACAGACCAAACGTTTTACAATGCAGTCCAACTAACGAATGCAGATCCCCCAGTACATCCTGATCAAAGCAGATGTCAAGTTCTCCATCACAGGCCTCGAGTTCTCCTACTCAACAGGACAGCAGCGATTATTGATTGAGTATTGACTAATACACCTCAAAATGCCTACACAGGCACCTCTGTAGATCTGATTGGTCCAAAATGATGAAATTCCACCTAGCCTTTCAGAGGGCAAGAACAAACCTAAACAATAGAATTAGGATACTAGAATGGACATGAGCCTTCTTATGACGGGATAATGGTCAGCCATTTTGGTCAGGAGGTTGGTCAACCATTGTTTGCCAGTGCTGTGTGATAAGATATTGTGTGAAATAATGAGTTTGAATTATTTATCTGCACTGTATGTTTGTTAGGTATCTAGCCAGTCACCCTTACAAAAATGAATTTGTTGCGACAATCTTCCTGCAAGTTCGTGTCGAATTCGCTGCAAACTAAATAGTGTGCCACAAAATGTTGCCAGAAGTTTGCAAATGTTTGCCACTAGTGGTGAATCTGCAGCAAACTTTTGGCATCAATAATATTTATTGCGACTAGTGGCAAACAGTTCACCAGAGTTTTTTTTTTTCTGGCAAACAATTCTCTCAAGATTCTATTTGAACCTGTGGCAACAATATTTATTCCCACTTGTGGTGAACACATGAGTTCCAAGAACAGTAACCGTTGACAACCAGTCAGGGGAGAAGAAAATCCTATCTAGCTACCTACTGAAGTTGTCCGGTGAATGTCTAACTTCCTAATAAAGTTTAAAATTGTGTTAGCTAATTGATGCCTAGTTAGCAATGTCATGTTTTGTGGGATAGAGTAAAACACATTTTATTGATATCAGCTTCAATCGGTCAGCGCCACTGACTGGCTATCTAGCGCATTAGGAAAGTATTCAAACCCCTTGACTTTTCCACATTTTGTTACGTTACAGCCTTATTCTAAAATGAATTTAAAAACAAAAAATCCTCATCAATCTACAAACAATACCCTATAATGTCAAAGCAAAAACAGGTTTTTAGGAAATGTTAGCAAATTTATAAAAAAAATAACTTATTTACATAAGTATTCAGACCCTTTGCTATGAGACTCGAAATTGAGCTCAGGTGCATCCTGCTTCCATTGATCATCCTTGAGATGTTTCTACAACTTGATTGGAGTCCACCTATGGTAAATTCAATTGATTGGACATGATTTGGAAAGGCACACACCGGTCTATATAAAAAGGTCCCACAGTTGACAGCGCATGTCAGAGCAAAAACCAAGCTAAGAGGTCGAAGGAATTGTCCGTAGAGCTCTGAGACCGGATTGTGTAGAGGCAAAGATCTTGGGAAGGGTACCAAAATATGTCTGCCGCATTGAAGGTCCCCAAGAACACAGTGGCCTCCATCATTCTTAAATGGAAGAAGTTTGGAACCTCCAAGACTCTTCCTAGAGCTGGCCGCCCGGCCAAACTGAGCAATCGGGGGAGAAGGGCCTTGTTCAGGGAGATGACCAAGAGTTGCTCTGTGGAGATGGGAGAACCTGCCAGAAGGACAACCATCTCCGCAGCACTCCACCAATCAGGCCTTTATGGTAGAGTGGCCAGACGGAAGCCACTCCTCAGTAAAAGGCACATGACAGCCCGATTGGAGTTTGCCAAAAGGCACCTAAAAGATTGAACTCTTTGGCCTGAATGCCAAGCGTCACTTACATTTTACATTTTAGTCATTTAGCAGACGCTCTTATCCAGAGCGACTTACAGTTAGTGAGTGCATACATTTTATTTGTATTAATTTTTTCATACTGGCCCCCGTGGGAATCGAACCCACAACCCTGGAGTTGCAAACGCCATGCTCTACCAACTGAGCTACACGGGACACTTCTGGAGGACACCTGGCACTATCTCTACGGTTGAAGCATGGTGGTGGCAGCATCATGCTGTGGGGATATTTTTCAGCGGCAGGGACTGGGAGACTAGTCAGGAACGAGGGAAAGATGAACGGAGCAAATTATAGAGAGATCCTTGATGAAATCCTGCTCCAGAGTGCTCAGGACCTCAGACTGGGGGCAAAGCATCACCTTCCAACAGGACAACGACCCTAAGCACACAGGCAAGACAACGCAGGAGTGGCTTTGGGGAAAGTCTCTGAATATCCTTGAGTGGCCCAGCCAGAGCCCGGACTTGAACCCTATCGAACATTTCTGGAGACACCTGAAAATAGCTGTGCAGCGACTCTCCCCATCCAACCTGACAGAGCTTGAGAGGATCTGCAGAGAAGAATGGGAGAAAGTCCCCAAATACAGGTGTGCCAAGCTTGTAGAGGGATACCGAAGAAGACTCAAGGCTGTAATCGCTGCCAAAGGTGTTTCAACAAAGTACTGAGTAAAGGGTATGCATACTTATGTAAATGTGATACTTCAGTTTTTGCAAACATTTCTAAAAACCTGTTTTTACTTTGTCATTATGGGGTATTGTGTGTAGATTAATGAGGGGGGAAAAACAATTTAATCCATTTTCGAATAAGGCTGTAACATAACAAAATGTGGAAAAAGTCAAGGGGTCTGAATACTTTCCAAATGCACTGTAATTCAAGAATGACCCGCCAGAATTATTTCAATATACAATACTCAAACAACTCCAAAACATGACTTTGAATCCTCTACTTTCACCACCAACATTTTTATTTCATAATATAGCGTTATTAATATAGTGTTAATAACATCACACCCAAGTTGAAAAGGTTGTCACCCATTCTTCCTTCACCTCCACCATATTTACCTATGATACCCAGGATTCCCATAATTTATTAACAGACATCCAGTGTTTATAACATGTTACCAGGGTTACTCAGGGTTGAAGTGGTAAAACAATAGGTTAGGTAAACGCTGAGCAGTGATCGAGATGACCAGAGACAAGTTGAGTGGACTTTAATGCAAGAACCCCAGTCCTATTTGGGGGCGGGTCCTATTCTAATAAAAGGTGTGTTTTATATGTTTTACTCAAGTGGTTTGTAGTTAACTTTCTTCCAAAGCAGCAGAACTCACTTTAATGGGTATGTCGTCAGATTTGATGAGTGACCGAAACCTTTCACTCAGAGCAGTGGTTAGGCTTCTCTTTTGTGTGAGTAAGCTGGTGTCTATTTAGGGTCTGTAAAAGGGAAAAACTCATCCAACAAACAGAGCAGTGGTAAGGCTTCTCTCCTGTGTGAGTTCGCTGGTGTACCTTCAGGGTTGCTACCCGACTGAAACCCTTCCCACACTGAGAGCAGTGGAAAAGCTTATTTCCTGTGTGAGTTAACTGGTGTCTTGTTAGGTCTCCTGCCCGACTGAAAGCCTTCCCACACTGAGAGCAATGGTGATGCTTCTCTCCTGTGTGAATTAGCTGGTGTGTCTTCAAAGTTGATGAATGACTGAAACTCTTCCCACACTGAGAGCAGAGGAAAGGCTTCTTTCCTGTGTGAGTTAGCTGGTGTCTATTTAAGTTCTGTGAAAGAGAAAAACTCTTCCCACAAACAGAGCAATGGAAAGGTTTCTCCCCCGTGTGAGTTCGCTGGTGTGTTTTTAGTTTGCTTGGAGTCTGAAAACTCTTTCCACATTGACCACATGGGTATGTCTTCTTTCTTTTTTTAGTGGGTATTGATTTGAGGTGAGTTGGACAAATAAAACTGCCTCTGCAATCTGAGCAGGGGTGGGGCCTACAAGTGTGTCTTCTCAACTCCTCTGGCTCATAGAAACTAGTGAAGCAGTCCATGCAATGGTGATGTTTCTGTCTTGAGTTCCTCTGTCTGTGTTGTTTATGGTTTCCTGATGCTGTGGAACTGGGCTCACTGTCTGAACCTGGGTTGGAGCTCTCTCCTGTGGGAATATGGACAGATATGGGGTTAGAATCAGGAACAGAGCATTGAAAGTGGCTTTAAAACTAGTTTAAGATTGATTAAGATCACTTCATTTGTCCAATTGAACACAAGGCCCAATGGAAATGTGACTTCCTCTTTAACCCAACCCCTCCTAAAAACCAACATAAACATACATGTTGGAGCAGAGGGCTGTCATACTATGGTGGTCGTGGAGCAGTTGTTGTGCGGGGTTAAGAGTCTTACTCAAGGGCACAACAGCAGGCGATGGCACTAGCCCAAACTTACAACTCTTTATTAATGGTTTCATTAATTAATAAGACGGGGTCTAATAATTAGACGAGGTCTAATCGTATCCAAAAGGGAATGCGTTCGATCCAACGACTACCTGCTAGCAGCACATGTTCCGTGTTGGAAGCTATATCCATAAATCGGTTCTGATTGGGAAGTCGCCGTTTTCATCGCTGAGCTGTGAACAAGAAACTATTAAATCCAGTTTTTAGATACTGTGGTTAAGGCCCTTTTCTCACCAAGTCCATTTTTTTGTCCAAATAATTCGGACCAAAAAGAAAAACATGAGCATGTCATATTTAAATTGTCCTGCCGCAATCCGTCAATAATATATTCGGAACACATTCGATATTTGCTGGGGGGTTTTTGCATGCAAAAATAGACTGTTGACCAAAAGAAAGTGTTCTCTGGGATATGTGTTCTGCCACTGAAAAGGCCACCGAAAAGTTAGTTGTTTGTATGAATTTATGAATTTTTCTCTGCCTGTTTTGTATGTTTGCAATGCATCAGTGCAGCAATTTACCAATCTGTCACCAGGCTACTCATTGAAGAGCTATGAGAAATAGAGAGAGGAGGAAGAGAGAGGAGAGGAAGAGGAGAGAGGAAGAGGGAGAAAGAAAGAAACAGAGTAGAGGGAAGGGAATAGAGGGAGAGAATAGAGAGAGAGGAGGAAGAGAGAGGATAACAGAGAGAGAACAGGACAAGAGAGGACGAGGCCAAGGTAGAGTAGGAGTAGGGACAGTAATAGAGGGGGGGGGGAACGATGGATAGAGTGACGAGGGAAGAGGAATAGAGTAGGAGAGTGGAAGTAGGAATCCAAGAGAGAAGATGGGAATAAGAGAGAATGAGGGAAAGGGATCGAGATGAGGTATGGAAGAGGAACAGAGAGAAGAGGAATAGAGAGGAGAGGAATATAGAGAAGGGGAATAGAGAGAAGAGGAACAGAGAGAAGAGGAATAGAGAGAATAGCGGCGCACAATTGGCCCAGCGTCATCCAGGGTAGGGGAGAGAATGGCTGGCAGGGATGTAGCTCATTTGATAGAGCATGGCGTTTGCAACGCCAGGGTTGTGGGTTCGATTCCCACGGGGGGCCAGTTGAAAAATAAAAAATTATGGTCTACACTCACTAACTGTAAGTCGCTCTGGATAAGAGCGTCTGCTAAATGACTCAAATGTAAATGTAAAATGAACAGAGAGAAGAGGGAAGATGAATAGGAAGGGAGGAATAGAGAGGAGAGGGAAGAGGAATAGAGAGAAGAGGGAAGAGGAATAGAGAGAAGAGGGAAAGAGGAATAAAGGAGGAGGAAAGGGGAATAGCGAGAAGAGGGAAGAGGATAAAGAGAGGTGGAATAGAGGAATAGAGAAGGAGTGAAGGAATAGAGAGGAGAGGGAAGAGGAACAGAGAGAAGATGAATAAAGAGAGAGGGAAGAGGAACAGAGAGAAGAGGAATAGAGAGGTATAGAGAGGAATAGGAGGATGACGGGAATGAGGAATAGAGAGGAATAGAGAGGAGAGGAATAAAGAGAGAGGGAAGGGAATAGAGAGAGGACGGAAGAGGAATAGAGAGGAATAGAGAGGAATAGAGAGGAGAGGTAAGAGGAATAGAGAGGAATAGAGAGGAGAGGGAGGAGGAATAGAGAGGAATAGAGAGGAGACGAATAAAGAGAAGAGGGAAGGGAATAGAGAGAGGACGGAAGAGGAATAGAGAGAATAGGGAAGAGGAATAGAAATGAGGAACAGAGAGAAGAGGCATAGAGGCTCTCTCTCTCTCTCTCTCTCAAACTTTAGTAGTAGCCTAGCTTTTGACAGCCTACAGCCAGGATTTGAAGGTAGCCTATAGGCGTACGTTTTTTTACTGCGTTTAAAAAAAATAAAGAAAATGTGGTTTGCGTTTGTGTCTGAGATGCGCTGGTGGCTTGGATTGATGGGTCCTTTTAGCTGGGTGTGTGAGTTGGTCCGCTCTGACTGGACTCCACCCCTTTACATCGGACAGAAGGAACAACTAATACAAGCACGACACATTACAGCATGTCGGCAAGTGTCACGCGATGATCAAACATGTACGAGGAATGACGACGGGTGTCAGTTTATAGAGTTTCCGCTCTTATTAAATGGGATGCAACTGAAGCAGACGCAGCCTACCTCCTGTCGTGATTTATTCATGCTATAATATCTTCAGTTGTTTAGCTTAGACTGTAGCCTTATTGGAGTAATTGGTCATTTCCATGTAAAAAGGACTTATAAGCGCCAACATGTGAAGTTCATAGGAGCATGTCAAATTGGGTGCCAAATGAAAGCAGAGTCTATCTTTTTGAGAAATTAAGGCATATATATATATATATTTAAAACATTTTCCATCCTTAAAATTTTGGAATAAGCAAAGACTTTGATTTCAGGTCAAACAGATAGAAAAGGGGTCTTAGAAAACATTTACTAGAAAAAGTCTTAAAAAGGTATTAGAAATACATCAAAACACAATAATGTTGAAGTAAAGACCCGTGCCAACTAATATCAACACTTAGATTTAGTTTTGGATAAACTTTTCTGCCTTCCGTAAGTTTAAGAAACCTTGCCTTGTGCCTTGAAATTCCGTTACCAAAAACCCACATATCTTTAAGATATTTTCACGTCTCTCCCTCATGAGGAGGGAGGATAATGAAAGTTCACAGAAGTAACAAGTAAAGGTAGACCTACCAATTAATTAGTGTTTTTACTGATATCAATTTTCTTTGAATTATTAAGTGATTAAAACTCGAAATTACCAAATCAGTAAAATAATTTCTGATAAAATCGGTAACGGAATTTCTGCAATTGAATTGGCTACAATGGAAAATCATAGTAGTCACAAACCACAGCACAGTATAGTACAGTAAAGAAAAGTACAGTATAGTACAGTAGCGTTCAGTACAGTAGCGTTCAGTACAGTAGCGTTCAGTACAGTAGAGTTCAGTACAGTAGAGTTCAGTACAGTAGAGTTCAGTACTGTACAGAAGAGTTCAGTACAGTAGAGTTCAGTACAGTAGACGTTTATGATTGGTTCAGATTTGGTCCGGTCCGGACCAACCAAATTTGGTCGTTTGGAGGCAGAGCTCATTAAAATAATAGCCAGTGCGTAGAATAACACCCGTATATGTAAAGGATGATATTGTATATTTCTACCTTTGTGTTCCTGTTCAGGATATATCACCATGAAGAGCATCACTTTCATATCCATCATTCAGCATTTCTGTATAGTACAGGTCAGCGACCAATAATGAAATTCCGCTACCGTAATTCAGTTACCGGGTGTAAATCCACTTCAATAACCAAAATATTTTTTTTCAAAGTCAATGTGTCATGTCATAGCTGACACCCCTTAATTTCTACAGATATCGTTGAATCTAAATTCAGAGCAGATATTGAAGTGTTTTGGGAAAGCGTGGACACATAAAAAACTGTTTCCAGACTTTGCATCTGCTCAGTTCTTCCAGTAAATGTGTTTTTGTAAAATGTTCAGCGGAAATTGTTAAAAGTAGTCCTTGTGCATAGAGTTGTATGGTTTGTTAACCGTTGAAATCAATGCTTTTTGTTTGGCATCCATTTTCTCTCAGCGCAATTCCGTTACGGTGGAATTGCCCCACTACAATATTATTTATCTCTCATTACACCATCCTTCCTCTCTGTAGCAGCTTGTGACGTTGAACGAATATTTCATTAAAGTGTGGGGGAAAACGCATCAGACTTGGTGTGAATGGTTTTCAGGGTTGGGGTCAATTCCGTTTCAATTCAGAAAGTAAACCTCATGGAAAAGCATTGAAGAGAATTGGAATTTCAGTGGGATTCCTGAATTCACCCCAACTATGATGGTTTTGTGTGTCAAAATCGGAATCCATATTGTTCCGGAATTCAGACCCAAAACAAATGTATGGCAGTTGGTGTGAAAAGGCCTTTAGAATCAGGAACAGAGCATTGAAGGGGGCTTTAAAATACTTGTTGATGCAAGTAGAAGCACAATAATACAGTTTTAGAATCCCCTGTGGTCGCCAAGGCACCAACCTCTCTCTGTACTCCACACCTGAACTTACCTGGGTCACTGATACTATCTACTTCTTCCTCTAGATCCAAGGCACCAACCTCTCTCTGTACTCCACACCTGAACTTACCTGGGTCACTGATACTATCTACTTCTTCCTCTAGATCCAAGGCACCAACCTCTCTCTGTACTCCACACCTGAACTTACCTGGGTCACTGATACTATCTACTTCTCCTCTAGATCCAAGGCACCAACCTCTCTCCGTACTCCACACCTGAACTTACCTGGGTCACTGATACTATCTACTTCTTCCTCTAGATCCAAGGCACCAACCTCTCTCCGTACTCCACACCTGAACTTACCTGGGTCACTGATACTATCTACTTCTTCCTCTAGATCCAAGGCACCAACCTCTCTCCGTACTCCACACCTGAACTACCTGGGTCACTGATACTATCTAACTTCTTCCTCTAGATCCAAGGCACCAACCTCTCTCCGTACTCCACACCTGAACTTACCTGGATCAGTGATACGATCTACTTCTTCCTCCTCTTCCTCTAGATCTGGAGCAGACACATCCCTGTTCTCCTCTTCTTTCACTGCTCTCTCCTGCTCTTCTTTTACTCCACTCTCCTCCACTTCCTCCTGGACTTCTGTCTCCTCTTCTTCTTCTTTGATAATCACATTGAGTTCCAGTGTTTGACTGCAGTCCTCCAGCTTCACTGAGACCATCTCTGGACCCCGCTGTGAGCTTCTCTGGGCTGGAACACCACAGCCAGAACCTGGGGACTCCATGGACTTGGGTTCAGACATGGTAGGCTAGTAGGTGGATCTGTAGGTGGTTTAGTCAAAAGAGGCAGATACAGTGGAGGGTGAGTTGCACATAGCTAGCTAAAACTATACTGAACAAAAATATAAAACTCAACATGCAACAATTTCAAAGAATTTACTGAGTTACAGTTCATAGAAGGAAATCAGTCTATTGAAATAAATTCATTAGGCCCTAATCAATGGATTTCACATGACTGGGCACCCACTTGGGAGTCAGGCCCAGCCAATCAGAATGAGTTTTCCCCCACAAAAGGGCTTTATTACAGACAGAAATACTCCTCAGCACCCCCCATCTCCCTCTTTAGATGATCCCACAGGTGAAGAAGCCGGATGTGGAGGTCCTGGGCTGGTGTGGTTACACGGGGTCTGCCGGTTGGATGTACTGCCAAATTCTCTAAAATGACGTTGGAGGTGGCTTATGGTAGGGAAATGAACATTACATTCTCTGGCAACAGCTCTGTTGGACATTTCTGCAGTCAGCATGCCAATTGCACACTCCCTCAAAACGTTTTAGAGTGGCCTTTTATTGTCCCCAGCACAAGGTGCACCTGTGTAATGACCATGCTGTTTAATCAGCTTCTTGATATGCCACACCCTGCCACATCTGTCAGGTGGATGGATTATCTTGGTAAATGAGAAATGCTCACTAACAGGGATGTAAACAATTTTGTGCAAAACATTTGAGCTAAATACGCTTTTTGTGCGTATGAAAAACTTCTGGGATCTTTTATTTCAGCTCATGAAAAATGGGACCAACACTTTACATGTTTCGTTTATATTTTTGTTCAGTATACATTCAAAAGTGTTGTAAACAGTCATGGCACTCCTACAGGACTGCCAGTTGTAGGGCTCTATAAAATTGGTTTTAATTTGGTTCCCGGTTATGTTTTTCCCAAATTCCGTTGAGTTTTTCCAGGTTTCCGTTTTTCCAGGTTTTTTCAGGCTTTCGCTCTCAAAATCACAGTTTTTAACCCTTTACACTTGTGGGAATTGGCCTATATTGATAGGACTAAATTGAAATATTTCTTACATAAAAAATGTAAACAGCATATGAAATGCATATGCATATGCACGGTAGCACTTGAAAGGGAACAGTTTGGAGATTATGGGAAAATTATTAGACTAAAGTTGAGGACACAACAGTTGATCTGACAAGACTATATCCAAACATTACATTGTTGATTTTATGTGCATTTTACATTTATTGTACTTTGACGCATTTGTTGATAACGAAATCTGAAAATACTCTGGAAACATTCAGTAACATGATAAGAATATTCCTGGAATATGTTGGGGTAGGTGCAACATAAGACAAAAAAAAATACAAGGGTTTGAGTGAGAGGACTAACTGGTGTCTACAAGTGGCCACACACCTCTCCAAAGTGTGCACAGTTCCTAGTTCATTTCAATGGACTTTTATGACTCAAAGAAGTCTTCAAAAAAAATAAAAAAAAACGTATAGTTGCTCTCCTAGCTATGACGTTGAGGAACTAGAGCAAGCACACTTGTAGTTGTTTTGAACACAATCCTGCATCCCCACCATCACACAATTACTGTTGTTGTTTACGCAATCCAAACACGGCCCATTATAAATGCCAATCTGGGTCAAGCTTGTTCTATTGCCAACATGACCAGTATTTATTATAGTCCCTCAAAGTCTCATCTTTCAAAATACGTAGAGTCCTCTTAATTTACAGCATTTCCCTCTCAAGACAGCAAAACATTTGCAAAAAGTTACCCAATTAGCGGGAGGGATTGGGGCAACTTGTCGCGCCCGATGCTCAAGTTCAGAACGGCTGTCAGTCAAAACCCACACAGCGCTGTGAAGTGCAAAGCCTGAGCTCTGACGTCATTTATGGCATGTTAAATGTGCAGCCCACCGTGTTCCAATTTAGGTGCTTATCAGCGCCCAAATCTGCTATTCTGAGTGTAAAGTTCTACTAGAAAAACTAAATTGGATGTTGTAAGTCCACAACAATGCTTAAGCCTCTTTTGAGGTCTGGGAAAAATAGAATAAATGTAGATTTTTGGGTGTAGTTTTACTTTAATGCAAGTGTGCACCAGCAGCAGACCATTGTTTGGTTACCAATGTTTCTGTAGCGCTCACATGATTGACGAGTTTGCAAAACAAATGGCCACTGGATTGATGCAAATAATCATGATATCATTCTGCCAGGTAGGCATAGGCTACTTTGTAGTTAACATTTAATTGAGAAGGTTTTTGCGAAATCCTTTCCATCTCTACCAGAAGGTTATCATTAGCATCATTGCTAAAGGCTACACAAAGTGGTAGACATAGTAGGGCTGTCCCCAACTAAAAAACATCTTGGTCCACCAAGAGTCATCTGTTCTTTCGCCCAATCGATTGGTCGAAATGTTAGAAACGTGTATTTTTCCATATATAGACACACCCATGGGTTTTAATCAACTCAACTATATGCACTGAGCATGTCTGATGCTTTAAGCGAACTGTTTGATGAAATAATTAAGACACACAAATGACTAGAGGGAGTCCAACCGCAATTGATTTGATTGTGCCGGGCCTGGCTCAGACTTGCTGCGCTGTGTTAAAACAAAAAAGACAGTGAGTGACTGTGTGACTAGCACCCGTTGTCTCTCTCCTCCCTGCTGCAGCGACCACCACAGAACATCAACAGTGTTTATCGCGCTGTCCTTGTTGCTGAAGCTGCAACATAATTACAGCCATTTCTGACTGAAAAGTTCTGTTACCGAAATCCCTAATTTGTTTAGGAAAAACATTCCCTATTTCCTCAACCCTTGCTCTCTTTACGTGATACATATGCATCTCATGCATGTAACCAATATGGCCTGACCTATAGCATATCATAATCACATCAATAAATTGGTTATAACAAACTCTGAACACTGTGACAAATTACCTTAAAACTGGGGGAATGTTTACTGGTTGCTCAGTATGTAAAGGTAAAGTCAAATGTGTTGAATAAATTGACTAGTTGTGGAAAATACTGGAGATCAAGAAAAATAAGGTAAGGAGAGCTGCATGCATATTATACAGTGGGGGAAAAAGTATTTAGTCAGCCAACAGTTGTGCAAGTTCTCCCACTTAAAAAGATGAGAGAGGCCTGTAATTTTCATCATAGGTACACGTCAACTATGACAGACAAATTGAGGAAAAAAAATCCAGAAAATCACATTGTAGGCAAATTATGGTGGAAAATAAGTATTTGGTCACCTACAAACAAGGAAGATTTCTGGCTCTCACAGACCTGTAACTTCTTCTTTAAGAGGCTCCTCTGTCCTCCACTCGTTACCTGTATTAATGGCACCTGTTTGAACTTGTTATCAGTATAAAAGACACCTGTCCACAACCTCAAACAGTCACACTCCAAACTCCACTATGGCCAAGACCAAAGAGCTGTCAAAGGACACCAGAAACAAAATTGTAGACCTGCACCAGGCTGGGAAGACTGAATCTGCAATAGGTAAGCAGCTTGGTTTGAAGAAATCAACTGTGGGAGCAATTATTAGGAAATGGTAGACATACAAGACCACTGATAATCTCCCTCGAAATGGGGCTCCACGCAAGTTCTTACCCCGTGGGGTCAAAATGATCACAAGAACGGTGAGCAAAAATCCCAGACCTAGTGAATGACCTGTAGAGAGCTGGGACCAAAGTAACAAAGCCTACCATCAGTAATACACTACGCCGCCAGGGACTCAAATCCTGCAGTGCAAGACGTGTCCCCCTGCTTAAGCCAGTACATGTCCAGGCCCGTCTGAAGTTTGCTAGAGTGCATTTGGATGATCCAGAAGAGGATTGGGAGAATGTCATATGGTCAGATGAAACCAAAATATAACTTTTTGGTAAAAACTCAACTCGTCGTGTTTGGAGGACAAAGAATGCTGAGTTGCATCCAAAGAACACCATACCTACTGTGAAGCATGGGGGTGGAAACATCATGCTTTGGGGCTGTTTTTCTGCAAAGGGACCAGGACGACTGATCCGTGTAAAGGAAAGAATGAATGGGGCCATGTATCGTGAGATTTTGAGTGAAAACCTCCTTCCATCAGCAAGGGCATTGAAGATGAAACGTGGCTGGGTCTTTCAGCATGACAATGATCCCAAACACACCGCCCGGGCAATGAAGGAGTGGCTTCGTAAGAAGCATTTCAAGGTCCTGGAGTGGCCTAGCCAGTCTCCAGATCTCAACCCCATAGAACATCTTTGGAGGGAGTTGAAAGTCCGTGTTGCCCAGCGACAGCCCCAAAACATCACTGCTCTAGAGGAGATCTGCATGGAGGAATGGGCCAAAATACCAGCAACAGTGTGTGAAAACCTTGTGAAGACTTACAGAAAACGTTTGACCTGTGACATTGCCAACAAAGGGTACATAACAAAGTATTGAGAAACTTTTGTTATTGACCAAATACTTATTTTCCACCATAATTTGCAAATAAATTCATTAAAAATCCTACAATGTGATTTTCTGGAAAGACAATTCTCATTTTGTCTGTCATAGTTGACGTGTACCTATGATGAAAATTACAGGCCTCTCATCTTTTTAAGTGGGAGAACTTGCACAATTGGTGGCTGACTAAATACTTTTTTTCCCCACTGTATGTGCCGAACAGGTGCTGTTAGATTACAATAATTTTTCTGACTGTTTGGAACAATGTATACAACACCAAATAAATGATAAGCGTACCAGAGAATCTGTTGTAACGTTTTTGCAAAGCCTTTATTACAGCAAAGACTAAAAACAGTTGCATTCATTAGTGAATACAATTTCCTAAAATGGAATGGTTTAGGCCTGTTTATTGTTTACGCTAATTATTCAATGATCGCTTTGTTATTTTATTTTAAAACTAAAATGCTTGATTGCATTTCAAATCATGAATGACTCGTATGCTGTGTGATGACCTGACCGGATTAATGATTGATACAGTAGCCTATATAAGTATTGAAGTATAGGCCTAAGTAAGTTACGGTATTAAGACTAAACAGGATGCGCTCTTAGGCCTACAGCTTGATGGTGGTTATACAAGGCTGCTATACTAAGCCTACTAATGATAATGACATCACTTATTATTAATATGATGATCATAATTATAATAATAACAATATGAAAGAGATAAAGGAAAAAGGAGAGTTATTATTATTATAAATATTATTTTTCTGACCATTTGGAACAGTGTAAACACAAAATCAATTATAAATAATACCAGAGGCTGGTCTAACGAGAGAGAAAAAAAGTGTAAAGCCTTTATTACAGCAAAGCAAAGATTAAAAACAGCCACATTTGTGAAATTGTTTATCCGACGTGGTTGCGTGAGTCTTAAGAGTTCATGAAATCAGTAGGCTATTAACAAAACACTCAAACAGGCAACATAAGCAGGATCTGTCTTATTTCTGTAGATATATAGATGTTATATGTTATATATATGGATGATCTATAAAGCCAGGCACTTTTAACAGTTAGGCTGTTGATTATAGACCTAATTAAGTTGGGGTTTCCTCTCTCCTCACTTTTCTTAGACAATTATGGCAAGGGCTGTTTTATTGTCTCCTAACTCTGCTGCTGCCTCCGCCGCATTGTTCTCAACACCAATATGCAGGTTAACTTTTCTTTTATACACATAGCAACGTGGTCTAGGAAAAGGCACCAATTCAACAGCGCACTGATGTGTTTCAGAACCGCGGCCTGAAAATCTATGGCAAGACTTGAAAATGGCTGTCTAGCAATGATCAACCAACTTGACAGAGTTTGAATAATTCTTTAAAGAATAATGTGCAAATATTGTACAATCCAGGTGTGTAAAGCTATTAGACTTACCCAGAAAGAATCAAAGCTGTAATTGCTGCCAAAGGTAATTCTAACATGTATTGATTCAGGGGTGTGAATACTTATGTGAATGAGATATTTATGTATTTCAAAACATTTGCAAACATTTATAAAAACATGTTTTCACTTTGTTATTATGGGGAATTGTGGGTGAGAGAAAAATATATTTAATCAATTTTGAATTCAGCCTGTAACACAACAAAATGTGGAATAAGTCAAGGGGTATGAATACTTTCCGAAGGCACTGTAACAGGGGCCTTCAACTCCTGTTCTGGACAGCCCATCTGCATGGTGTGCAGGCTCTTGTTCCATCCCAGTACTAACGCAGTGGGTTCAGCTAAATCAAATAATCATAATCCTCAATTTAGCCCTTATCACTTGAAATTCGTATGGGTATGAATACTTTATAGCTTATGATATGTCCCTTTGTAAAACCATGGCCTCGGCTTGATATGCTAATGCTATTTGCTCCTTTGCATTGTTTAGTCCTGGCAGTCTCATACATTTGTGACTATATGTTAAACCCATAGTCATCTGGTATTATCTCATGCACCTTTGTTGATGTGTTCCTAATGCGTGTCCCTCGTCTCTCGTCTAGACCGCCACTTCCTCCCACAACCGCACCTTCCTACTGGCCTTACAAGCCCCAACTCCTAACCTTCCTACTGGCCTTACAAGACCCAACTCCTAACCTTCCTACTGGCCTTACAAGCCCCAACTCCTAACCTTCCTACTGAACTTACAAGCCCCAACTCCTAACCTTCCTACTGGCCTTACAAGCCCCAACTCCTAACCTTCCTACTGGCCTTACAAGCCCCAACTCCTAACCTTCCTACTGGCCTTACAAGCCCCAACTCCTAACCTTCCTACTGGCCTTACAAGCCCCCAACTCCTAACCTTCCTGCTGGCCTTACAAGCCCCAACTCCTAACCTTCCTACTGGCCTTACAAGCCCCAACTCCTAACCTTCCTACTGGCCTTACAAGCCCCAACTCCTAACCTTCCTACTGGCCTTACAAGCCCCAACTCCTAACCTTCCCCCGTGTGCCTCTGTGTTCGTGTGTAACTGTGTTTATAATAAATACCCTAAAACGTGGATTATTAACCTCCATCTCCTAATTGTGTTCTGACCGATTCAGCAACACTCCTGAACTAGCATATACAGTCCACCTAGTCCTTTTCTTCAAAAATAGTTATTTTTTAAAAAGTCGTAGCTACTGTAATTACCTAGCTAGTTGTTAATGTCTACTGTACTGGACAGAAAAACTGACCAAATTTAGCGAGAATTTACTTCTGGGTAACCGAGATTAGCTAGCTGCCGTCATTACAATGTTTCTCATCACTTCAATAGCCCCAAGGTAGACCCACCCAAGTTAGCTAGCTGGCTACTAAGGTGATGGAAAATAGTTAAGGGCTGCTCCTCTTCCTCTCTGCTAATAAACAAAGCTAGCTAGCTAGCTAGCTAACAGTATATAGGTTTCTGGCCCTCAGTACCCGTTATTCCACCAATGTGGCTTTCACTGACGATTTATAATGGAAGCCAGACTTTATTCACGCTCATAAACAGTTCAACAGATCATAAACTCACCTTTTAAAAATAGTCCTCGTCGTCAGTTGTTTGGCTGAGTAACACAACTGGCCGAGAACCAGCCGCACTGTAAACTTCCGCCCGCGTTCTAAAACCGGAAGTGGCTATATATTTGTGCTGCTATTTGTTTTTTGTGAGTGTAGCGTTAGATGGTAGGGTATTTGTTGTATTTTATTTTTTTTAAGCAAAAATATAAGGGAGTTATACTCCAGTCTAGTGGGTGGCGGTAATGCAACATTTATTGGATGCCAACCGCTGTTAAACCTAATCGAAGAAGATATTTGTGCTGAGGTCAGTTAGATACTGTAGGTATGTAGCCAGCAACTTAAATAAAAATATATAAAGGTAGCTGAAAATTATATAGTATTACTATATAGTATTATTAATGACAATTAGTGTTAATCAAATCAAATCAAATTTTATTGGTCACATGCGCCGAATACTACAGGTGCAGACATTACAGTGAAATGCTTACTTACAGCCCTTAACCAACAGTGCATTTATTTTAAACAAAAAAAGTAAAAATAAAACAACAACAAAAAAAGTGTTGAGAAGAAAAAGAGCAGAAGTAAAATAAAGTGACAGTAGGGAGGCTATATATACAGGGGGGTACCGTTGCAGAGTCAATGTGCGGGGGGGCACCGGCTAGTTGAGGTAATATGTACATGTGGGTAGAGTTAAAGTGACTATGCATAAATAATTAACAGAGTAGCAGCAGCGTAAAAAGGATGGTTATGTCACATGCGCCGAATACAACAGCTGTAGACCTCACCGTGAAATGCTTACTTACAAGCCCTTAACCAACAATGCAGTTCAACAAATAGATTTAAGAACATATTTACTAAATAAACTAAAAGTAATAAAATAACATAAAAAGTAACACAAAATAACAATAACGAGGCTATATACAGGGGGTACAGGTTAGTCGAGGTAATTTGTACGTGTAGGTAGGGGTAAAGTGACTATGCATTGATAATAAACAGCGAGTAGCAGCAGTGTAAAAACAATAAGATGTGTTTACATGTGTTTTACCTGTGTGGTTTGAAGTTTTCTATAGCAAGAGAATTCTGTCCAGTGTCAGTGCCATGATACTTTAACTGGTGTGTCTTCATATTTTATGACCAACTGAAACCCTTCGCACACTGGGAGCAGTGGAAAGGCTTCTTCAACGTGTGAGTTGGCTGGTGTGTAAGTTGTGTAACAAACGGAAACTGTTCACACACTTAGAGCAGCGGAAAGGCTACTCTTCTGTGAGTTAGCTGGCGTTTTTTTAGGAAATAAAAACTGGTGAAACTCTCCCCACACTGAGAGCAGTGGAAATGCTTCTCTCCTTTGTGAGTGAGCTGGTGTGTCTTTAGATGGTGTAACTGACTGAAATTCTTCCCACAGAGCAGTGGAAGAGATAGTGATACGGACTATTCCCTTTGTGAGTTATCTGGTGCATCTTTAGTTTGCTATTCCCATATTGACCACAGAGGTACATTTTCTTTCTTTTGAGAGTCTGTTGGTGTGATTTAAGGTGAAGTGGACAAATAAAACTGCCTCTGCAATCTGAGCAGGGGCGGGGCCTACAAGTGTGTCTTCTCAACTCCTCTGGCTCATAGAAACTAGTGAAGCAGTCCATGCAGTGGTGATGTTTCTGTCTTGAGTTCATCTGTCTGTGTTGTTCATGGGTTTCTGATGCTGTGGAACTGGGCTCACTGTCTGAACCTGGGTTGGAGCTGTCTCCTGTGGGAATATAAACAGACATGGGGTTAGAATCAGGAACAGAGCATTGGAAGGGGCTTTAAAGGGCAACTGCCCCTAAAAAACAATGAATTCCTTTGAAAACAGGGTATGTGGCATCGAATATTAATCAGAAACATTTATTCTAGTGTCAAAATTAACTACAAAGTGTAAATAGGATAATTATGGTCATAAAGTCAGTCTCGTTTAAAATGGATTTTGGAACTTCAGTGCGTCACAACGAGTAAATGAAGGTTGGGTTTGGATAACAATTATGTCAACAAATCATGCTCCCTTTTGCATGTGCAAATCGTCCCTCTGCCCACTTCACTTCCCTTCAGTGAATATGGCTCTGTTGTTTCACCGCGTTCAAAGGATCACGGCCATTTCAGACTGAAAAGCCCTGTACGGATTGACCATGTAATGGATGCTTCCAGCAGGATCCACAGCCTATGGTTTGCATGCCCTGCCGAAGGACCCTAACATGAGGAATAGGTGGTTGGAGTTGGTTGGTCCCCAGTGGTGGTGAGTATACTGTTAGCTAGACCATAGACTGATGGTTATGTATCTTATATTTTGTCCAGACTATACAGTCCATTCGGAATGTATTCAGACCCCTTGACTTTTTCCACATTTTATTACGTTACAGCCTTATTCTATAATTGATTAAATAGTGTTTCTTCCTCATCAATCTACACACAATACCCCATAATGACAAAGCAAAACCAGGTTTCGCTGCACAGCTATTTTTCAGGTCTCTCCAGAGATGTTCGATCGGGTTCAAGTCCGGGCTCTGGCTGGGCCACTCAAGGACATTCAGAGACTTGTCCCGAAGCCATTCCTGCATTGTCTTGGCTGTGTGCTTAGGGTCATTGTCCTGTTGGAAGGTGAACCTTCGCCCCAGTTTGAGGTCCTGAGCGCCCTGGAGAAGGTTTTCATCAAGGATCTCTCTGTACTTTGCTCCATTCATCTTTCCCTCGATCCTGACTTATCTCCCAGTCCCTGCCACTGAAAAACATCCCCACAGCATGATGCTGCCACCACCATGCTTCACCGTAGGGATGGTGCCAGGTTTCCTCCAGACGTGACACTTGGCATTCAGGCCAAAGAGTTCAATCATGGTTTCATCAGACCAGAGAATCTTGTTTCTCATGGCCTGTGAGTCTTATAGGTGCCTTTTGGCAAACTCCAAGTGGGCTGTTATGTGCCTTGTACTGAGGACTGGCCTCCGTCTGGCCACTCTACTATAAAGGCCTGATTGGTGGAGTGCTGCAGAGATGGTTGTCCTTCTTGAAGGTTCTCCCATCTCCACAGAGGAACTCTGGAGCTCTGTCAGAGTGACCATCAGGTTATTGGTTACCTCCATGACCAAGGCCCTTCTCCCCCGATTGCTCAGTTTGGCCGGGTGGCCAGCTATAGGAAGAGTCTTGGTGGTTCCAAACTTCTTCAATTTAAGAATGATGGAGGCCACTGTGTTCTTGGGGACCTTCAATGCTGCAGACATTTTTTGGTACCCTTCCCCAGATCTGTGCCTCGACACAATCCTGTCTTGGAGCTCTATGGACAATTCCGTCGACCTCATGGCTCAGTTTGTGCTCTGACATGCACTGTCAACTGTGGGATCTTATATAGACAGTTGTGTGCCTTTCCAAATCATGTCCAAATCGATTGAATTTACCATAGGTGAACTCCAATCAAGTTGAAGAAACATCTCAAGGATGATCAATGGAAACAGGATGCACCTGAGCTCAATTTCAAGTCTCATAGCAAAGAGTCTGAATATTTAAAGTATGTAAATGAGGTATTTCTGTTTTTGAATTTTAATAGATTTTCAAGCATTTCTAAAAACCTGTTTTCGCTTTGTCATTATGGGGTATTGTGTGTAGATTGAGGACATAAAAATATAAAAAATCAATTTTAGAATAAGGCTGTAACATAACAAAATGTGTTAGAAGGGAAGAGGTCTGAATACTTTCCGAATGCACTGTATATTAATGTAAAGGAGCTTAGGGGTGGCAGGTAGCCTAGCGGTTAAGAGCATCCCCAAGCAGACTAGGTGAAAAAATCTGATGTGCCCTTGAGCAAGGCACTTAACCCTAATTGCTCCTGTGAGTCACTCTGGATAAGAGCGTATGCTAAATGTCAAAAATGTCAAATGTAACTTCCTTTCTCATGTCGCGCACAAAGGAAGGAAGGAATCGGGCCGTCCCATGGCCCCACCAAGCATGAACTATTCCTCAGGTAGGAGTATGCTGCTTATGGGAGACTAAAGTTGTGAAAAAGGCAGTGTGGAGGTGATTAGGGGAATTCAGTTGCAATACGTTTGGTCTTTTGCAAAACGTTTTGCAACTGAAACCGTTTACTCCATACGGAAAACGATTTGCAACAATAACATGTTTCAATTGGACAAATTAAAGGGATACTTCGGGATATTGGCAATGAGGCTCTTTATCTACTTCCCCAGAGTCAGATGAACTCGTGGATTACATTTTTATGTCTCTGTGTCCAGTATGAAGGAAGTTAGAGGTAGTTTAGTAAGCCAATGCTAACTAGCGTTAGCGCAGATACCCATAGACTTCAAGTCATTGCGCTAATGTTAGTTAGCAACTTCTTTCAAACTGCACGCAGAGACATACAAAAATGGTATCCACGAGATCACCTGACTCTGAGGAAGTAAATAAAGGTGCCAAAATACCTAATTATTCCTTTAAGGTAGGTCCCCTCCCAGTTGACTAAATGTTTTGCAAAATAATACGACTAATGCATACCCCTGGTGTGGAGGGCAGGGTCTACATGGGCTAATAGATTCAGCTGCAGACTGACCACAACTAAGCCCAAAAAGAGATTTGTTATTACAATCATTTCATACCTTGATTACATTGGGACACGATCACATCTTTGTTTTTTTTGTGGAATACTTGGGAATTCCTAAATTAAACACGTTTTTAGCTGAATTTCTGGTGATTTTAGTCTTTATTTTTTTTAACCAAAAATGTAATCCCTTCCAAAATAATAATATAGTTTTACTAACAACTTTGAAAAAAAAAATTAGAAAAAAAAAATCACTTGCGGGCCGGTTTTTGAAAAGCTTTTGCATTCCTTTTGGAACCAAGCTTCCTTGCAAGATCCCACTCTGGTCGACGGTGAAGTCGGCTCAAATCAAAGGTCACGTAGGTTATTAAGTGTGGAGTAATGAGTAGGATTGTGTTGACACATGCAAAAGTGATTATTTTTGATAAAAACGCTTTATCTGCCTTCACAATACAAACTAGTTAGAAAATATCGAACATGTACTTTATGGAAAAAATATGTATGTTTCTGAACGATGCATCATGCTGCATTGTTGACAATATGACCAAGAAGCGCAGATGACTTTTCGATATGAGCAGGGCTTCACTCGGTCACGTGACGGGCCATAGCTCAATGTAACCCAGGCCAGTTTAATCGAATCCCCTCAATGGAATGACCCTTCACAACAAGTTGATTTAGCTGAACCCCCTGTGTTAGCGTACAAAATATTATAATTATGTTCCTGCCCCCTGATCATCCGCTCTGACAAAAATCATCCCTCTGCTGAATCTATTATATAGTTAGAAAATTCAAACATATTTGATGGAAAATATATGTTATATGTTTCTGAAAGATGCATCATGCTGCATTGTTGACAATATGACTGAGTGGCACAGATTGCTGTTCAATTTGAGCAGGGCGTGTATCCCCTCAGTGGAATGACCCTTCACAACAAGTGGATTTCGCTGAACCCACTGTGTTAGTGCTGGGGTGGAACAAGAGCCTGCAAACCATGTAGATGGGCTGTCCAGAACAGGAGTTGCAGGCCCCTGATATACTGTTATTAACTGCCAGATGTCATTAAGCAGTTGAGTAAACTATCATTATAAAACTGTCATTGTACATATTTGACGTATTTTAGCAGGGCCTTGGGAGGATCGGATAGTAACTCTCGATCCAGTACATTTTAAGGGTGCTTTAAACGACAGTCTGTGCTCGCAAAGTAGTTTTATCACCACAGACAGGAGTTTGGCTGAACACCCCAGCGCCTTGGCTCACGTCAGCATTTCTTCAATCCATTAAAATGTCACAGCCAGTAAAAATCTAAATCTGGATATGAAATGTCACATGCTGTGCCATGGATCCACTAAACAACCAATCTTGGCTCAGTTAATTCAGATCTTATTTTCCAGGTCACATATCTTGCTGTAAATCTATTACGGTGTCAGCAATGTGAGGACCTCATGGTCGACTAATAAGGTCAGAATAATGTTATGAGGTCTTCACCTTTCAGTATGCAGTGTGAAGTTAATGGAGGGCTAAATGTAATATTAATCTAATACATTTACAAGGATAAACACTTGTATCAAATGGGGAGCTGTTGTGTTTGGACAAAACAAGTCTAAATGTATTACCCCCCTGCCAGTGACCTTCTTCAAACATGGCCATGATCCAAAACTGGGTGTCAGAAATACATGCAGCCTAAAGTAGTTTGGGATTGCTTCATGACCCTCCGTCATAGAGATGGTATCGAAGCACATCTGCTGAGCTGTTCTTGAAACTCCAATTGATCCCATACAGTCGATAGCAGAGGTACAAGAAGAGAACCAAAGCAACAGATCATTTCCAAGCCCAATATGGCCATGTTCAGAAACAGGTGTGTCAGAAATACCACAGCAATACACTGAGTGTACAAAACATTAGGAACACCTTCCTGATATTGAGTTACACCCCCTCTTTTGCCCTCAGAACAGCCTCAATTCGTCGGGTCATGCACTCTACAAGGTGTCGAAAGCGTTCCACAGGAAGACTAGCTGCTGCCTTGGCAGGAACTAATTGGGATCCATAATAAATACAAATACAAGCCCAGTTATGTCAAGTTAGCTGGATGTCCTTTGGGTGGTGGACCATTTTTGATACACACGGGAAACTGTTGAGCGGGAAAACACAGCAGCGTTGCAGTTCTTGACTCAAACCGGTGCGCCTGGCCCCTACTACCACACCCCGTTCAAAGGCACTTCAATATTTTGTCTTGCCCATTCACCCTCTGAAATGGCACACATACACAATCCATGATTGAAGTGGATTTAACAAGTGACATCAATAAGGGATCATAGCTTTGACTTGGATTCACCTGGTCAGGCTCTCTCCTGGAAAGACCAGGTATTCCTAATGTTTTACATTTAAAGGCAGCTTAATGTGAACACTGTGCAAGGGGTGTGTAGACTTTCACTAGAGACTGTATATACGTTTAATCTGTGAATTCTGACCAAATAGGTTCAATATTGTAAAATCATTTTGTGGTATGTCACCTGCATCTGGATGGGGTAGAACTGCTTGTAATTGAAGTAGTCCTGCTTGTCCAGTGTTGGTGGCGTGATCCATATGTGGTAACCATCGATGACCCTGACTGCCTGGTTTAACACTGGATTTCTCGCCAACCTCCCGAATCTGGCGCGGTGATCTTCTGGAGTCTATGGCCTTCTTGTGAACAATCCTGCACACATCCTGGGGTTCTGGGACACTAAAAGGTGCTGGTTACCAGCCTCTAGGAAAGGCAGTGGGGCTACAAGTAAACAAAGATCAGGACCTCGAGGTGCTGTCCCCAACCATGATCCTTCTCCTGGTGAAGCAGTCTCACGAGCCACAACAGCCCCGTGAGGCGAAACTCAGGCCAGAGGCACGGCTCTGCCTCACCATAGTCTCAGGATAGGAGCGCAGGCGTTCAGCCTCATGTACGAGACCATACGACCTGCCTGAAAAGAGAGATGGGGAAAAACAACACATTTAATCTAGAAACAAAATGGAATTCATTACAGTTATAAGTTAGAAAGAATAATGTAGGCTACTTAAATCTTGGGTAGTGAAATGAATAGTCCACTCACTCTATACAGTACAGACCACTCTGTCGTTGTGCTTTTATTAAAATCATTTTAGAGCAACAAAATATTTTAGAACAACTCCTATGCTCCCCGTTCACCCACGACTGTGTGGCCGCGCACGACTCCAACACCATCAAGTTTTCTGACGACATAACGGTGGTTGGCCTGATCACCGGGGACGACGAGAAAGCCTACAGGGAAGAGGTCAGTGACCTGGCAGTGTGGTGCCATGACAACAACCTCTCCCTCAACATCAGTAAGACCAAGGAGCTGATCGGGGACTACAGGAAGGGGGGGGGGCGGCCACCCTGTATATAGCTACTGACCCTGGAACTGTCCCTGTATATAGCCACTGACCCTGGAACTGACCCTGTATATAGCTATTGACCCTGGAACTGACCCTGTATATAGCTATTGACCCTGGAACTGACCCTGTATATAGCTACTGACCCTGGAACTGACCCTGTATATAGCTACTGACCCTGGAACTGACCCTGTATATAGCTACTGACCCTGTATATAGCTACTGACCCTGTATATAGCTACTGACCCTGGAACTGACCCTGTATATAGCTACTGATCCTGGAACTGACCCTGTATATAGCTACTGACCCTGGAACTGACCCTGTATATAGCTACTGACCCTGGAACTGACCCTGTATATAGCTACTGACCCTGGAACTGTCCCTGTATATAGCTACTGACCCTGGAACTGACCCTGTATATAGCTACTGACCCTGTATATAGCTACTGACCCTGTATATAGCTACTGACCCTGGAACTGACCCTGTATATAGCTACTGACCCTGGAACTGTCCCTGTATATAGCTACTGACCCTGGAACTGTCCCTGTATATAGCTACTGACCCCGGAACTGACCCTGTATATACAGTGGGGGAAAAAAGTATTTAGTCAGCCACCAATTGTGCAAGTTCTTACACTTAAAAAGATGAGAGGGCTGTAATTTTCATCAAAGGTACACATCAACTATGACAGACAAAATGAGGGAAAAAAATCCAGAAAATCACATTGTAGGATTTTTAATGAATTTATTTGCAAATTATGGTGGAAAATAAGTATTTGGTCAATAACAAAAGTTTCTCAATACTTTGTTATATACCCTTTGTTGGCAATGACACAGGTCAAACGTTTTCTGTAAGTCTTCACAAGGTTTTCACACACTGTTGCTGGTATTTTGGCCCATTCCTCCATGCAGATCTCCTCTAGAGCAGTGATGTTTTGGGGCTGTCGCTGGGCAACACGGACTTTCAACTCCCTCCAAAGATTTTCTATGGGGTTGAGATCTGGAGACTGGCTAGGCCACTCCAGGACCTTAATGCTTCTTACGAAGACACTCCTTCGTTGCCCGGGCGGTGTGTTTGGGATCATTGTCATGCTGAAAGACCCAGCCACGTTTCATCTTCAATGCCCTTGCTGATGGAAGGAGATTTTCACTCAAAATCTCACGATACATGGCCACATTCATTCTTTCCTTTACACGGATCAGTCGTCCTGGTCCCTTTGCAGAAAAACAGCCCCAAAGCATGATGTTTCCACCCCCATGCTTCACAGTAGGTATGGTGTTCTTTGGATGCAACTCAGCATTCTTTGTCCTCCAAACACAACGAGTTGAGTTTTTACCCAAAAGTTCTATTTTGGTTTCATCTGACCATATGACATTCTCCCAATCCTCTTCTGGATCATCCAAATGCACTCTAGCAAACTTCAGACGGGCCTGGACATGTACTGGCTTAAGCAGGGGGACACGTCTGGCACTGCAGGATTTGAGTCCCTGGCGGCGTAGTGTGTTACTGATGGTAGGCTTTGTTACTTTGGTCCCAGCTCTCTGCAGGTCATTCACTAGGTCCCCCTGTGTGGTTCTGGGATTTTTGCTCACCGTTCTTGTGATCATTTTGACCCCACGGGGTGAGATCTTGCGTGGAGCCCCAGATCGAGGGAGATTATCAGTGGTCTTGTATGTCTTCCATTTCCTAATAATTGCTCCCACAGTTGATTTCTTCAAACCAAGCTGCTTACCTATTGCAGATTCAGTCTTCCCAGCCTGGTGCAGGTCTACAATTTTGTTTCTGGTGTCCTTTGACAGCTCTTTGGTCTTGGCCATAGTGGAGTTTGGAGTGTGACAGTTTGAGGTTGTGGACAGGTGTCTTTTATACTGATAACAAGTTCAAACAGGTGCCATTAATACAGGTAACGAGTGGAGGACAGAGGAGCCTCTTAAAGAAGAAGTTACAGGTCTGTGAGAGCCAGAAATCTTGCTTGTTTGTAGGTGACCAAATACTTATTTTCCACCATAATTTGCAAATAAATTCATTAAAAATCCTACAATGTGATTTTCTGGATTTTTTTTCTCTCAATTTGTGTACCTATGATGAAGATTACAGGCCTCTCATCTTTTTAAGTGGGAGAACTTTCACAATTTGTGGCTGACTAAATACTTTTTTTCCCCACTGTAGCTACTGACCCTGGAACTGACCCTGTATATAGCTACTGATCCTGGAACTGATTCTGTATATAGCTACTGACCCTGGAACTGATCCTGTATATAGCTACTAACCCTGGAACTGATCCTGTATATAGCTACTGATCCTGGAACTGTCCCTTTATATAGCTACTGACCCTGGAACTGATTCTGTATATAGCTACTGATCCTGGAACTGATCTTACGCTCTCGTGTTCTTCTTATTTCTATTTCTGGTGTGTTTTTGTTCTACTTGATTATCTTTTATAGTACTACTGACATTGATTATTATTATTATTATTACAAATCCAGACAGCTGATGTTCTGAAAGAGCTGCAAAATCTGGACCCCTACAAATCATCTGGGCTAGACAATCTGGACCCTTTCTTTCTAAAACTAGCCGCCGAAATTGTCGCAACCCCTATTACTAGCCTGTTCAACCTCTCTTTCGTAACGTCTGAGATCCCCAGAGATTGGAAAGCTGCCGCGGTCATCCCCCTCTTCAAAGGGGGTGACACTCTAGATCCAAACTGTTACAGACCCATATCCATCCTGCCCTGCCTTTCAAACGTTTTTGAAAGCCAAGTCAACAAACAGATCACCGACCATTTCGAATCCCACCGTACCTTCTCTGCTATGCAATCCGGTTTCCGAGCTGGTCATGGGTGCACTTCAGCTACGCTCAAGGTCCTAAACGATATTATAACCGCGATCGATAATAGACAGTACTGTGCAGCCGTTTTCATTGACCTGGCCAAGGCTTTCGACTCTGTCAACCACCGCATTCTTATTGGCAGACTAAATAGCCTTGGTTTCTCAAATGACTGCCTCTCCTGGTTCACCAACTACTTCTCAGATAGAGTTCAATGTGTCAAATCGGAGGGCCTGTTGTCTGGACCTATGGCAGTCTCTATGGGGGTGCCACAGGGTTCAATTCTTGGGCCAACTCTTTTCTCTGTGTATATCAATGACGTCGCTCTTGCTGCTGGTGACTCTCAGATCCACCTCTACGCAGACGACACCATTTTGTATACATCTGGCCCTTCATTGGACACTGTTAACAAACCTCCAAACGAGCTTCAATTCCATACAACACTCCTTCAGTAGCCTCCAACTGCTCTTAAACACTAGTAAAACTAAATGCATGCTTTTCAACCGAACGCTGCTTGCACCCGCCCACCCGACTAGAATCACTACACTCGACGGGTCTGACCTAGAGTATGTGGACAACTACAAATATCTAGGTGTCTGGTTAGACTGTAAACTCTCCTTCCAGACTCACATTAAGAATCTCCAATCCAAAGTTAAATCTAGAATCGGTTTCCTATTTCGCAACAAAGCCTCCTTCACTCATGCTGCCAAACATGCCCTCGTAAAACTGACTATCCTACCGATCCTTGACTTCGGCGATGTCATTTATAAAATAGCCTCCAACGCTCTACTCAGCAAATTGGATGTAGTCTATCACAGTGCCATCCGTTTTGTCTCCAAAGCCCCATATAATACCCACCACTGTGACCTGTACGCTCTTGTTGGCTGGTCCTCACTACATATTCGTCGCCAAACCCACTGGCTCCAGGCCATCTATAAATCACTGCTAGGCAAATCCCCGCCTTATCTTAGCTCATTGGTCACCATAGCAACACCCACCCGTAGTCTGCGCTCCAGCGGGTATATCTCACTGGTCATCCCCAAAGCCAACACCTCCTTTGGCCGCAATTCCTTCCAGTTCTCTGCTGCCAATGACTGGAACAAATTGCAAAAATCTCTGAAGCTGGAGACACTTATCTCCCTCACTAACTTTAAGCATCAGTTGTCAGAGCACCTTACCGATCACTGCACCTGTACACAGCCCATCTGAAATTAGCCCGCCCAACTACCTCATCCCTATATTGTTATTTATTTTGCTCATTTGTACCCCAGTATCTCTATTTGCACATCATCTCTTGCACATCTATCATTCCAGTGTTAATACTAATTGTAATTATTTTGCACTATAGCCTATTTTATTGCCTTACCTCCATAACTTGCTAAATTTGCACACACTGTATATATATGTATTTCTGTTGTATTTTTTTTGACTTTGTTTTGTTTTACCCCATATGTAACTCTGTGTTGTTGTTTTTATCGCACTGCTTTGCTTTATCTTGGCCAGGTCGCAGTTGTAAATGAGAACTTGTTCTCAACTGGTTTACCTGGTTAAATAAAGGTGAAATAAAATAAATAAATAAAAAATTATTACTGTATTGTTGGGAAAGAGCAAGCCAGAAAGGCATTTCACTGTTCTAGTGCACGTGACGACAACTTGAAACATACAGTGAGGGAAAAAGGTATTTGATCCCCTGCTGATTTTGTACGTTTGCCCACTGACAAAGAAATGATCAGTCTATAATTTTAATGGTAGGTTTATTTGAACAGTGAGAGACAGAATAACAACAAAAAAATACAGAAAAACGCATGTCAAAAATGTTATAAATTGATTTGCATGTTAATGAGGGAAATAAGTATTTGACCCCTTATTGTGCCTGTTCCACATACTCATTGCTAGCCTGCACTGGGAGTCTGGGCTGCATCATGTTTAGCGCCTGCACTGGGAGTCTGGGCTGCATCATGTTTAGCGCCCCACTGGGAGTCTGGGCTGCATCATGTTTAGCGCCTGCACTGGGAGTCTGGGCTGCATCATGTTTAGCGCCCCACTGGGAGTCTGGGCTGCATCATGTTTAGCGCCCCACTGGGAGTCTGGGCTGCATCATGTTTAGCGCCCCACTGGGAGTCTGGGCTGCATCATGTTTAGCGCCCCACTCATGCTGCACAGAAGTTAAACACACTCGAATAATGCAACACGGCATGTAGAAATGTTGGTAAAACAACTAAACACGAGTCAGACCAATCTGGTTTCCCCCTATCCCCACCAACTAAACACGAGTCAGACCAATCTGGTTTCCCTCTATCCCCACCAACTAAACATGAATCAGACCAATCTGGTTTCCCCCTATCCCCACCAACTAAACATGAGTCAGACCAATCTGGTTTCCCTCTATCCCCACCAACTAAACATGAGTCAGACCAATCTGGTTTCCCTCTATCCCCACCAACTAAACATGAGTCAGACCAATCTGGTTTCCCTCTATCCCCACCAACTAAACACGAGTCAGACCAATCTGGTTTCCCTCTATCCCCACCAACTAAACACGAGTCAGACCAATCTGATTTCCCTCTATCCCCACCAACTAAACATGAGTCAGACCAATCTGGTTTCCCTCTATCCCCACCAACTAAACATGAGTCAGACCAATCTGGTTTCCCTCTATCCCCACCAACTAAACATGAGTCAGACCAATCTGATTTCCCTCTATCCCCACCAACTAAACATGAGTCAGACCAATCTGAAGTCCATAGAGGCTAGAATAACTTTACAATGCAAGAAGATACCAAACCAGTAGCCCCCAGCTTCGTAGGCTAACTTTCCTGATCGCTTACAGTTGAAACTAACATCAATTCACTACCCTGGTACTTTGTTTGTGATCATATGCAAACCATAACGCAAAATATGCTGATTTAAAAGCTGATTGCCATTAAAAACGTTATTAATTCACTTAAAATCGGTCTCTCTCACATCTCTGCCTCTGCCAAAGATGTGTTGCCTCAGCGAACTGAGGGCTCCGACAGCCGCACCCCTCTTGGCTCGTGAATGATGTCATTACTGGTTAAAGAGATATCGCACACTTTTATAAAATAAGCTACTTCTATGCAAATGTTGTTGATCAGTACAATGAAAAGATAAACAACTTGCTCGACTATATCAACTTCAATCAGGTGCTGGATCCTCGTATATAATCCAAAGAACAGAAATAGGACGGCACTCCGGTAAATAAACTTAAATTGCCACACAAACGTTTCGGGTATGAGCCCTAATCAGTACAATAAAATAAGTGCCATATGGAAGGGAAACAGATTGTCATCTGTAGCCCCATGAGATCAGCCAAAACAAGCTCAATATCTCAATTCACAACACACTCCTATTGAATATGCCGTCACCTGTACTGTGAAAAGGCCTATGGTACATCTTGATTTAAGCAGTTTTATCAATAAAGATTTCCCATTCAAATAAATGATGACCATCATGTTGTTATGTAATTAGGTTGGTATAAACAAAGTCAAACTAATTGTATGATTGATTAATTTATGCATACATGGCTGTCTGAAAGATTCTGACGTGAAACATTTAAAATGTAATGATGTTGACGCTCGAAAGACGCCCAACGATTGAACAAAGCATTCTGTCTGGATTAATTGCCATTCTGTGACTTTGGCAACAACAACAAAATTGCTGTGATATCGTTTTGGTATCGAGTATCGTGATACTAAACCTGGTATTGAAGTCAAAATTCTGATGTCGTGACAACACTTTCAGGAACAGTAAGCGCATTGAAGGGGGCTTTAAAATACTTGTTGATTCAAGCAGAAGCGCAATAATAGTTTTGGAATCCCCTGTGGCCGCCAAGACACCAACCTCTCTCCGTACTCCACACCTGAACTTACCTGGGTCAGTGATACCAACTTCTTATCTAGATCCAAGACACCAACCTCTCTCCGTACTCCACACCTGAACTTACCTGGGTCAGTGATACGATCTACTTCTTCCTCTAGATCCAAGGCACCAACCTCTCTCCGTACTCCACACCTGAACTTACCTGGGTCAGTGATACGATCTACTTCTTCCTCTAGATCCAAGGCACCAACCTCTCTCTGTACTCCACACCTGAACTTACCTGGGTCACTGATACTATCTACTTCTTCCTCCTCTTCCTCTAGATCTGGAGCAGACACATCCCTGTTCTCCTCTTCTGTGACTCCTCTCTCCTCCACCTCCTCTTTGACTCCTCGCTCCTCCACCTCCTCTTTGACGCCTCTCTCCTCCACCTCCTCTTTGACTTCGGTCTCCTCCTCCACCACCTTTTCTTCCTCTTCTTTAACTTCTACCTTCTCCTTTACTTCTACTTTAAGTTCTCTCTCTTCCTCTTTAACAATCACATTGAGTTCCAGTGTTTGACTGCAGTCCTCCAGCTTCACTGAGACCATCTCTGGACCCCGCTGTGAGCTTCTCTGGGCTGGAACACCACAGCCAGAACCCAGGGACTCCATGGACTTGGGTTCAGACATGGTAGGCTAATAGGTGGATCTGTAGGTGGTTTAGTCAAAAGAGGCAGATACAGTGGAGGGTGAGTTGCACATAGCTAGCTCAAGCTACATTCTAAATACATATTTTCTAAAGTCGTAGCTAACTAGCTGCCTATAGCAAGTTGTTAAAACTTTTCTTATCACAGGTCGAGTTAACTTTAATGAGACATTTAGACTATTGTTTCCATTCCGTATATCTAGTATTTACTCTGAGGTGAAATCAGACTGCATGGGTTTACTAGGTAGCCTCAGGGCAGCCTTTGATCATGACTGTCAGTTCCATTACATTACACATAAGAGTGTTGGAGGAAGGCGTCTTCTGTAAAGGGTTTTGTTAAGAGCCCCAACGCTCGGTCTGAACATTAACACTCATCGCTTGAGGTATGGTTTTGGAAGAATAAGAACCTTATTTTACATTTTAGTCATTTAGAAGACGCTCTTATCCAGAGCGACTTACAGTTAGTGAGTGCATACATTTTTTCTCTCCATACTGGTCCCCCGTGGGAAACGAACCCAACCCACAACCCATGCTCTACACCTTATCTTTCCTATCAGCGATAAATAATGTAAAAAATATATATGTTAAATTGATACACACCTTTATAGGGTTGGGGTTCCCACACAGCCATATCTCCATGTTACTGCACGTGTTTGCAGATGGAAGACAGGGACCACCTGTGCTAATTAGCATGCTCCTAACACGTGTACTGTAACCGAAGAAGGCCGCCATAAATGTGTTGTCAATGAAAAAATACTGTCGGCTGCTACTGTGATAAAGCCGGTTAAAACTGTGTACACTAATTGTATTTTTTGCAGTTATTACATTATTTATACATGTGAAATTAAAGTAAATGGCTTTATGTTTCTAGAACCGTATCGCAATAGAGAATCGATTCACGTTTAGATGGAGTATGTTGCCTGTTTTGGCCGCCAGAGCCAGTCTACCTCTGAAAATACCATAAGGTCCTTGAATCTTAAGCGTAAGGGTAGGCTCCTTAAGAGTACATTTTAGGTTAGCTATCTACTAACAAAGGTGGTGGTATATGCTTCGCCTTTTCCTCTCTGCTAGTAACACAACAAGCTAGCTAGCTAACAGTAGCTAGTTATCTGCCCTTGGTAGACGTCATTCCACCACTGACTTTCACTGACGATTGTCAATGGGAGTCGGGCTTTATTCACGCTCATAAATAGCTCAACAGATCATAAACTCACCTTTAAAGTTGTAGCTAATATTCATTATCGTCAGTTGTTGACAGGACACGCGAGGAAACCATAAGGAACATAAACTTCTGTGTGCTATTTTTCTTCTTCTACGGTATAAAGGCGTTGACACCAGTTGAATGTGCATGCCGCCACCTACTGTATGGTCGTAAACTAGAGAAAAAAATAAATGGCCATTAGCAGAAAAGGGAATAGTCCCCCACAGCGGACACGTCATAATACCCATAAAACCTTGTGGTCAAACACGGAAATGGTTCCAATCGTCTTTCCACCATTCATTTTTCACATAGTGAATTTTACAATCACTTCAAATTAAGTAGGCCTATGTGTTTGGTGTAGGCTTACCTTGGTGTGACGTGTGATTCTCTCTCGGACAAGGTGAGTTTTATAAATATATTTGTCTCAATTTACTCTAAAAAATTCGAAATGCTAATTAGCAACAGAGAAGATCTCAGCAGGCATACAAATTCCTGCAGGACGCTCTAGCTGACATCTCTAGCTAACAATGTCAGCTACCATCAGGGGTGAAAGTCAGGGGTGAAAGTAAGGCTGTAAGGTCTTGTACAGCATCCTGGCAAAATAAATAGTGGGGGTACACCTTACGGTAAAATATGAGCCTATCACAACAAAGAAAACAAAAATGTCAAGAAAACTGTAGGCTATTAGACCATTATTTATCATTACCGCATATCAGAGGCATGAGAAATTAGTGAATGGACTTGAAACGGGTGTATAGCCTATGAAACGGGTGTATAGCCTATGAAACGGGTGTATAGCCTATGAAACGGGTGTATAGCCTATGAAACGGGTGTATAGCCTATGAAACGGGTGTATAGCCTATGCTCCAAAATGCCATGTGGTTCGACAGGAATTAGGCAGCCACCTAGAGCGCCAGTTTGACACCTCACATTATTCTGCCCAAAAAACGATGATAACTTCTCTCACCCAGTGGCATGAGGGCTGTTTAGGTGAGCTCTAATGCCGCCCCATGATAAGCAGTGCCCACTTTGCCAAAGGCAGGGGCGCAAAATATTTAGCTTGTCCATGCCCAGCATGCCTCTCCAGGGTGCTGTTGGAGAGACGCAGCACTTCAGCGCTCCACCAACGCTCCATCAAATTAATTTAACATATTATGTAGCCTACGGTTGAAAAAGTAGTAGCCTATGTGTTTTTTCTGTAGCCTATAGACTGGGACCAAATGTAGGGTGAGTATTGGTTAAGTGGGACAACTGGCAAAGTTGGACACTTAAGCTTTGTAATGGATATCTTTAAATGTTTACAATAACATAACCAACAATCAATACCTGTGTGTTAGTGAGGAAGCATGTGATGATACAAAATGGGTTCAATGGGTATGATGTCATCATTGTGGGCGTGGCCTCCCGTCTATTGACACATCTCTAGAGTCATAATGGTAAGTAAGATGACATAGGGTTCTGAGGTAAATAATGTCAAGGTTATAAGAAACGAAGAAAATATATTCGGTGTCTCATTACAGCATATTTTGTAATGAGATATAATTGTAAATCAAACTGACTGTAAATGGGTTTCTCACTAATCTCCCCTTTTTAGAATCTTGACATTTTAACAGGTGTTCCAGAATGCCAATCGCCTACTATCCAGGCCACTCCTCCTCTAGGCCACTTTAATGCAGAGCAAATATTTCGGGGGTTTATGAAATACATGTTTTCTTAACAGAAATCCACTTTCTAAATAGGATAAAAAGTTCAATTGAATTTTCCTCAAATCTGCTATCAGCTAGCTTGCTATAGAAAGCTATCGTAGCTGCATTTTACATAGAAAGATATTACCTCACCAATATAAAAAAAATCTTAGCTAGCTATATTCATAACCATACAGGTATATGATGACAAATTGTTGTCAGGGGTAAGGTCTTTCTGGTTTCATTCTACAAAATGTCCGTTAGAGTGTAGTGTTGAGGATGTTGCGCTGATAGGTCTAGATGAAGTTCCTTTTATTTGATTTATAGGCTATACAATTACATATAGGCTACGTCATATCATTATGATGAAGTATGATGATAATTATAATCATAACTGATCATTCTTAATCTTCCACAAAAATACATACATGTTTTAATACATTTCATTTGTATGAATAATGGAAGTTTTATCATTAAAATATTGAAATTACTCATACTCTCTAATTTGTCCTTATTTACAATAAATAATTAAGTGTCCCACTTTGGCAATCAATGTGTCCCAATTTGCCAGTATCGACTTAAAAAATTTGGTCTCAGGACAATTTGTGTTTGAAGAAGAGTCATCCATCCTGTGTTTTTAATAAAAAATGTTTGTTGTATAATGTAGTACAGTTCTTAAGTTATTTAGAATGGTATCATGTTGGGGGTTAAGACAATGGGATGATTTCTGTAAGGTGTTCCGGAAAATGAATTTTCAGAAAGTGACCCACTCACCCTATTACAATGTCATGAGACAGACACTTTTAAATAATGAACAAGGAGAGAGAGTGCAGGAGAAAGTCAACTGAACAGGCACGCAGGCAGACATCGGCTTTGGAACGGCTGCGGCATAATACGAGGTGGACAGCAAATGGTGCTGAAAGTAATTCATTTCAACAATTGTCTTCATTTTAATTTGACTTCATTAACAACAAGGGGGCTTTGTTGGAGCCCATATAGCCAAATCCTCCAATCTCCTTACTAAATACCTCCGTGTCTGGGAAGGGCTTAGTGTGTTTGGTTAAAACCAAAGAAAAAGGATACCTATTGTTAGATTTATATTTTGAAATAAATAAACCGTATCTAGATCATTTAAAGCGTTCTATAACAATGCTTAACTCCGTGATGCCTTTATGCTAGAAACAAGCTTTAAAATGCCCACAAAAAAACATGACTCTGATGTATATAAAGAAAACAAATTGGCACAAGGCCAAACCTATTGCGGACCCCTTTTGTACACTATTTTAGTTTAGCGGGGATGGGAGGGGGGTTGAAATGTTTTGTCTTGCCTAGGGCGGCAGAACATACAGGTCCATCGTTTTTTGGGTGCACGCGCGTGCACACACAGGAGGTCAGGTACGGGGAAGAAATCTACTTTCACCACTGGCTACCATTCAACAGCGCGATCAGAGACGTTCTGTGCCCAATCCATGATGAATCCATGTGCTGTTATCGTATCTGAAGATTATGTCTTTGTTAAATGTTTTTCATGAAGAAATGGAATGTTGTTTACGTTAGTATATGTTTTAGTGTAACGTCATGTACAACAGACAGGAAGTGTGTTGTAGACAGGGGAGACTGGTGATTGGCCAGAAGAGGGAGCTTCATTGTCTATAAAAAGGGGTTAGACTACAGAAAGGGCAGAACGGCCATGGCAATCTGAGGAGCCGTTCTCCGGACACCGCGGGTCTGTACTTATGCTGTAACCTCGTGATTTTAATAAAAGCCTCTAACACGATGCAGCTTGAACGGACTCTTTGTTGACAGCAATAATGGCCACCATTCACCCGATACGACATAATGGCGCCCAACGTGGGGCTGGTTTGCGTCTCTTCTTTGTTTCGTAGCCGCCAAGCTAGCTCGCTTTGAAGCATGGCCAAACAAGGGTGAGTTTTTCTTACTGCTTCGGAGTTTGTTAGATTGGATACGATTTGTGTACACTGGAGAGATGTACCATACAACCTTGCCTCGGGTGGCGTTGTTGCTGTTGACTAGAGTCTGCTAAAATGTTATTCCATTGGTAACGGTTGGCAATGGGAAATTTAGAGCATTAAACGGT